GTATGGGATATCTAAAAGGTTCTAGAACACAGAGAGCACATGAGAAAATATGAGAGCGGGCTTCTCCCTGGATAGTTGCCACCCTCTGCTAGGCATTGATGCATCCATATTCCAAAAGAATAACCAAGAATCATCTTCAATAGTATTGGACTGGTTAGAATATGGTTAAAAGAAATCCACATTTGGACTCGAGCCCGACTCTAAGTCTCTCTAATTAGACTATCCACTCGTCTTTCACATCCCATCCAAGCATATAATTTCCTATATCACAGTCCAGATTGAAGATCTGAGGTTTAAGATCAGTAGTATCAACAGCTTCTCGTGTCCTTGAGGGTTGTAGAGATTCTCACTTATCACAGTTTATGGGGGGAGGGGAATCATTAGCTAAAAGAACACCATAAAGAGCTAGCAACAACCCTTAAAAAACTCATTTACCTCTCTAAGTTCAGGTACGGCCTCATTACACCAATCAAAGGATGAGTGCATGGAATTGGTACCTTAGTCCCATGCCATACTTGTTCTAACAGAAAAAATGAAAACATTTATCTCCATGCAGGCCCTATTTCTCATTTCATGGCACGTTGGCAGGCGGCAGCTAAGGGCAAAGTAGCCCTTCTGGTACAAGCCTTGTTTGGCCAACAGCACTAGTAGCTTCACATAAAAAATGGTAGAAAAGTAGAAGTTTTCATCAAAATTTGTAAAATACTCAGAATCGTCCCTTAAAATCTAAAGCGTGTTAGCCTGAATTGAACAAAAAAAAGTAATCCTTAGCTCAGACATTTCCGACAGGAACTAGGTGGGATAATACGCCGATCTGTTTATTAAGGACGAAATAAAATATGGACATAATAGCTCATATACCTAAGAATAAAACTCCCGATTTATACATGCAAGAAAAATTCTTGTATGGGATGGAATTTTAAGAAAACTCCTTCTTAGAGGCTCAGATCTGTTTTTCCAGAGGAAATGGGAAGCCGACACCGCCATGGCTGCAACATCCGGGGCAATTCCCGGGTTGCCCCGCCAAGATACGGATCGGGTCCTCCAAATGCCTCAAAATTAGTAGCCCAGAAAGAAAAGGAAAAAGAGAAAACTATATCATCACAGCCTCTTCATAGTTCCTAACGATATATACTATACTCCGTAATAACAATAGCTTAAGAAGAGTTCACGAGCTTCTCTCATCGATAACCTGACGTACTTTCGATGAAGAAAATCGTTTCTTGCTTCTTTGTTTATTTATTTATTATTATTATTATTACTACTTCCGCTTTCTGAAGAAAGATGAAAGGGATGTTCGAGAGGGGCATGGAGGAATCATAGGCAGATGAGAGGGAGGCAACTGCCCTTTCAACATACTCCCGTCCCTCTCCCCGCCTCATCCTTTCTGGGCTACACTTCTGCAATTCATTCCATCCGATTTATATAACGGAGTACTTTCCTTTGATGAGTTGGACTTAGTACACACTTTTTGGTGTACACACTTTTTACACATGTCTGTGTAAGGTTTTTTTATGTCTGTACAGACATAACGATACGTTATGTCTGTACAGACATAAAAAAACCTTACACAGACATGTGTAAAAAGTGTGTACACCAAAAAGTGTGTACCTTTAGAATTTTTCTCCTTTGATCACTTTGGGAGTTGTGTAAATTTATAAAGGTGTGGTTGAGATTTACGTAGATAAGTGAGAAGTAACAAAAAAAAAATAATTAATTTAAATGAAAAGTGACATAAAATTTTGGAACATCCCAAAAATGAAAAATTGAAAAAGTTTTAAGGAACAATGAGTTAGGAAAATTTGTCAATTAAGTTTGGCACTATATTGAGAAAGTTAATTGGACCCTTTACTTTATAAACACTTAATCGAACTTTGAACTATCTTCTATTATACAAAAGCAAAATGAAAACTGCACAGTGTTCCCGCCCAAAAAATGAACAGTAATGGGCCGGGCATGTTAGAGTGGGTCCAAAATCAGGTCATGCAATTCTAAAATTGAATAGAAATTCCACAGGCCACAAATTTAGTCTTTTTACATTGAATAGAGCGCTGCAATTCTAAAAAATGAGAGCATTGTACTCGAAATTCCACAAGCAGCACATCTACCGCTCTTTTTGCCTTTCTTGAGCCACGCAACAATAAATGCACTGTACTGGATGTGATAGTAAATGGCAACTTCAATTGAATAGAGTGCTGCAATTCTAAAAAAATGGGAGCATTGTACTCGAAATTCCACAAGCAGCACATTTACTCTTTTTGCCTTTCTTGAGCCACACAACAATAAATGCATTGTACTCGCTGTGATAGTAAATGGCAACTTCACATTTAATGGGGTGTGCCTTGACCAATGGTTATTACACAATAACACAATTTGCTCTACACCACTTCCTCCATTTCCCAATATAAATACCCATTGAAGAGGTCAGAAACCACACCACAACCAAGCTGATCTCTGTATTTTCAAGTTTCCTAAGTTATTTGTGAGCTATGACAGGTTCCTCAACACAAAGAGGCATGTGGTCCATGATCAAGGATGTTGATCATACCAAGACCGCTTGGGCCTTAAGGGTGCGGGTGGTCAGAGCATACGAAGTCCCACCTCACTCAAAAGGGGGGGCAACACTCGAGATGGTGTTGCATGATGAGCTGGTAGAAAAACATATTCACAGAATTTTCATTTTGATATCAAAAACATATTTTGATATCAAAAACATATAATACTATATTATCATAATAATATTATTACTATTATTATAATTATATTATTATTATTATTATTATTATTATTATTATTATGTTATTATTATATTCACACTGCCCACATTTGGTATTTAGGGAGACCGCATTCTCTAGCATTCTTGCTACTCTTCCCTCTCAGGGCGGCACCACCACTTGCGGTGGCCGCCGCCGGGGCCCTCCTGGCTCCGGCGGGCCTCTTGTTTCAGTTTGGTTGCTTGACTCTGTTGCTCCACTGGTCCGATGGCTTTGATGGAATTCCAACTGTGAACATTGCCAGAACTTCGTGCTTTTTTGGCCGGAAAAAATGGTGAATGCAGAGCTGGGGTTGTGGGGTGTAACAAATATGGCTTGGGTTTTGAATCTTCTTGTTGGGTCTGGTGGTTCCTTTACTACTAGTTTGTGTTTTGGAGGTTGACCATTGGAGCCTTGGTCTTTTACAACCGGAGTGAAAGCTTTCCGGCGTCTGCAGCACCTGGTCTTTAGACATGGCGTCGGTACGGTTGCGGGCTCTTGGTATTCTGAGGAAGTGGGGGGAGGCTTGCCAAGATGAATCGGGGTCCAGACATTTTCAAGGTATGTTCCATTTCTCATCGCTGCTTTGAGAACGAACATTGTCCGGTGGTCTTCCTCTGAAAAAACTTGAACTCGGTTCTTGTTTGTCAACCAGCATTTTCTTTTGGGACCTTTAGTTTGTATGGAATTTCACCCCTACACTGGTTTTGTGTCTAATTTTTCTCTGGCCTTGTTTGTGTGAACGGACTGGAGGTTCACTTCGTTGTTCTGAGCCGGAGCTTTTACCCCTTGAAGGACCTGAGCTCTTTCTGATTACCCGGACTGATTACCACTGCGCTGCCTCCGGAGAGGGTAGGGAGTGACGATTGTGGGAAGGAATGGGGAAAGGGAGGTGTTTCGGAACGATAAAGGGGGTTTCTCCCCGGCGAGGGGTATGCAGTGGGTCTCTGGTTTTCTGGGATGTGTTTTTGGAAGTTTTGTTGGCCGGAGAAGGTGAATGGGGGACTGGTGCGATGACGGTGCCTCCTGCGGTTCTCTTGGTTTCCTGATTTTTTTCGAGGTCGAAGGTTCTGATAATGGCTGGATTCGCCGGTGCAAACCGCCAGCCATTACTCTTGTTCTGGCTACTGTTGGCACGCCACCTTGCTACTTTCGTATCTATGCCGCCTGGGGCTGCCGGAGGTGGGCGGGGAGGGAGGTGGGAGGTTGGATTTACGTGCTAGCTTTTAGGTTACCTGTCCGGCTGGTTACTACTCACCCACCATTGCCACCGGGATGACGCCGGAGCCTGGTGGGGGTGGGCTGTGAGGAGGTTACGTTTCTTTTTCGCTCTTGGGGTTGGCCGGAACTTCACCGGCGACGGAACGGTGAGTCAACGGCGACTGGCTCCTGATTTGACTGGCCGCCTGACGAGTACTGTTGCAGCACGTGGGTGGACTTTTCTTTGACGCTCCAATGCGGCGCAGACCCAATGCGATGGAGTTTGGGCTGAACCCTAGCTCTGGTGGGCTGCTAGACTGGGCTGCAGGCCTGTATGCTTGGACGCTTGGATGCTGCTCGCTGCTGGGCTATGTTGCTGGGTTTACCCGGTTTTTGAAGTTGATGGGCTACTGATGGACGCAACTGGGAGTGCTCGCCTGGGAGCATTTTTGGTGATGGACTTTTGATAGTTTTGTTGTTTGGGCTTTATTGTTACTAAGCTGGGGGCCTGTCCCAAGCTAGTATTTGGACATATCTTTTTAATTTTCCCTCCTCCCCTGCCCCTACCGCAAGGTGGGGGTGGGGGGTGTGAATGGTAGATGCTACTATAGGTTAGTTTACTAGCTTAGGTAGTCTCTTTTTTGGCACTTGTACATTCTTTAAACCCTTTTTCTTTGGGTGGTTTTTTAATATACTTACATTTCACCCAAAAAAAATAGGGAGACCGCATTCACGCTATAATAAAGAGGCCACAGGTGGAGGTTTACAAGACCATGATTAAGGAAAACAAAACTTACGCTCTGAGGACGTTTTTGGTCCTGGACAACTACCAAACCGTCAAAACAAGTGACCATCCTTATTTGATTCAATTCATTAGCAAAACTCAGTTCACCGAAGACACTAGGACAGAGTTGCCAATTATGGTGTACGACTTTCAGCCATTTGACATGCTACAGGCTCAACGCGTCGTCAACGACAAAAAATTGATTGGTGAGGACAACCGAAAACTTTTACAATTTAATTTACTGAAATAAATATCTTATGCTGGAATTTGGTAATAGATGTCATAGGCAAAGTCATATGTAAGAGCGGCGTTCAAAACCATATCATAAGTGGAAGGGCTGAGAGGATGATGGAGTTGACATTAGGAGACCCTGAGTGAGTTTTGTTTAAACATTTTATACAATCTCGACATAAGAGAGAAATGGTTATGGAGCATGAATAATATTTATTATTAAATAACTTTTATAAATTGCAGAGGGAACCGACTCGGATGTGTATTGTGGAACAAGTACATAGACCAGTATATGGAGTATGTGACCGAAAATGTGGGCAGGCCTGTGTATGTAATTTTTCAGCTATGCAGGCCAAAGAGATACCAAGGTAATCTCTTTTGTAGGGATGTTTATGACTCCTGCCATCAGGCGAAAACAGTATGATGCTAAAAACTAATTACTCATGACAGGCACCCTATCTGTATCATCTTCATTTGATGTGTCGAAACTGATAATCAATGGGAACTCAAGCGAGTTTATTGAATTTCAAAGCGAGTAAGAATTTTTTGAAAAGTAGGCAGGGTATTGAAGGCTTATAAAAACTATACTCATAATGAACTCTGCACTATATTACAGATTTCCTGTAGATGGTGATGACAGCGTCACAACCACAGTCGTCTCACAATCTTCCCATTGTGATGGGAGCCGGGAAGATGTCCTTGTGGGTCAAGCTGTCATAACGACTATTCAGGAATTGGTTAAGGCTACAGAGGTGTGTACAAGATGACCTATTCTTTTATGTTAGGGCATTTTCAACGCTGATGTCAAATATTGTGTTTACAAACAGGATGGGGTTTACTGGATCATCGGAGACATTGTGTCTCTTGAAAACTATAGAGAATGGTGTTACCTTGGTTGTCCCACATGCTACAAAAAACTAAAACCAGAGGATGATAGGTTCATGTGTACCAATTGCCATGTCACAATGGCAGATGGGGTGTATCGGTAAGAGAATTGATATTGTATGTAGCTATGATTTGTATGAATTTTGTAAAACGAAAAATATTTTGCATTCATTTTAGGTACAAAGTCAGCATTTGCATCATGGACCAGACTGGTCATTCAACCTTCATTCTGTGGGACAGGGAATGTATTGAAGTTTTTGGAAAAACATCTGCTTTTCTGATGGCTGAGATGGAGAAGGCAAAAACTTGATTTCAATTTATATGTGAAATTATCAAAATTAAAAAACTTTATGCCTAATGCAAATGGTTTGAATAAAACAGAAGACTGAAGACCAAACTCGATTTCCAGAAGACATAGAAAGCTTGGTTGACCAAAAGGCCCTGTTTAAAATACAACTGAAGACAAAAAGTGAGGAGAATACTTACAAGAAAACAAAGTCATTTACTGTGGTGACCATGATAAGAGACCCTAAGGTTCTGGCATTGTATGAAGCGGATAAGGAACAAGAATAAGTGCATGACACTCCAACTGAGAAGGTATTTTCAATGGTTTTGGAGTTTATAGAAGATTTACTTTTTGGTGCTTCATAGTAAAAGTATATGTTTCGTATAATAGAAAATAATGACCAATACCTTATATTTAGATTGGGTCAAGTCTGCACAATGGTGAAAGTTCTACAGCGAGGAAAAAAGGGAAAGATGTTCAAAAACAAGAGGTACAGACTGTATTACCCTTATACATTTGTATAAGTAGGGTTATATATTAAAGAGATATGCTTACATTTTTTCTTAAAAAGGTTGTCGAGGCAATTGACCTCCCAGACTCACCCCCACTGGGTACGCAGAAGGTGGTGGAGGTGGAAATGGATGGACAACTCAAAAGGAATCTGATAGATGAATTCTCTACAAGTGGTGTTGTGAAGAAGCTGAAGATAAAAATTAAAGAAGAACCACTCTGAAGAACAAGGGCCAGTCTGTTGGTCGGGACTTATGTTTTGTACTGAGGCATCCTTGGACTTATATTTTGTTTTGTGGTGTTGGGTTGTAGCCTAAAACACATACTTGGGCATGATTGTGTCTTATTTTTGGCAGTGTGGACAAACTAAGCATGACACTATATTTCTCCTATGGGAACTAAGTACAAACTGTTGAAAAAATGTATTATCGTTATGATGATTTCATATGTTTATTTTGCAGGACACCGGCAACACTTCAACAGTTCGTGAGAATAGATTTAAAAAATAATACTTCAATGTTTATAATCTCCATGTCATATGAATTTCATTCAGGTCATGGGAGTACATAAGGATGAGGCTAAGGTCAAGGACAATGGACCTTCTAAAGTCCACCGAGGTGATCTAGGAGGCACTAAGCATGAGTTTATATCAAGTCCAAAATGTAAATATTATTAATGTTGTAAAGCAATGGTTTTAATGGAAAAGTGATATTGGTTTTGCACTTGATGCGTTAGAATATTACGTATGAATACACATTCATGAGTTACAACTGTTAAGAAAGAATAGAAATAAAATGGCAACTGAGTTGGTGAATGGAGTACATACCTCAAACAGCTGTAGAACACCACCTGCATTTTCTATTTGGACTAATTAATATTACAGACCCCTTAAATATATTACATTTTTGGCAACCCTCTAAGGTCCCTGAACTATCCCTAAACAATTTTCTAAGTCAGAAAACTAAGGCAAAACATCCACATTAATGAAGAATTGTGCAATACCTGCAAACAGCATAAGTTAGTGAATAAGATCACAAAGATTTTATGTAACTGATGACTTAGATGTTATCTTACTCATTTAAAAAAAAAGTTTCTGAATTATTGATCAAAACAGGTTAAAAAGCAGTTAAAATGTCATCTTATCTTTTAAAGTTTAACTTTACTCCAAAAAACCAAGTATTTTGCAAAATCTTTTATTATAAATTGTTTCAAGATTGAATATCAGCAACAAGCAATTCGTATAAACCAGAGAATGTTTATTTTCAATTCAAAAATTCAAGTACTGAAATTAAGTTTGTAAAACGAACCATGAAATTAAAAGATTCTTTTATAATGGATCAGCAATATTCGGATATATATATAACAATAAATGTTTTTAGAAAATGAAATAAGTACATTTTTTCAAAACCAGTGAATATAGGCATACTTAAAAAAATTAATTATATATATGTAGTTTGTTATATGTGTATGTATTCTAAAAACAAACTGATGTCTATATATTTATATATATGGATGTTTAAATAATATCTGCCCAAATTAGATTGAAGTGTCAAAATTTTAAAAGACACTTCACCAGTTCGAAGTTGAAACCATGTAATTTGGGTAAAATATATGAAAAATTGTTGCGCAATTGGCTAATGTTTATAAAATACATGCTTAAAGTAACTATGTAATATGAAAAAACAATTTAAAAATCACTTTTATGAGGGATACAGTATTTATAGTACATAGGGAAGTCATGGATGAACTTACCAGCACAACTGGACTGAAGAGCTGCTGGCAATTAATGCAGCTATCAACTGACAGTGTTTTAGAGTGTGTGGCTCAAAGGCATTAATGAATTGTAAGAGTACTGAAATTAAAGATTTGGTAAAACAGTTATTTATACGAACTGGTGTACTCATAAATTTAAGTACACAGTAGTAGGTGTGTAGGTCGGCTAGCATTAAATGCAGATATCAGCAATATCTCAAAGGAGAATTTTGCATAGGTCTGCTCATTAAATGAGAATAGACAATGTAGGTCTGCTCATTAAATGAGCATACAAAGCATCAAGTGAACTTCATAATTAATTAAAAAAGTACTTACCAATGACCTATAACCAATATTCCAATCTGTAAGCATATATACCACTTCACTTGCATTAACTCCTTGCTCAGAATGAAATTTACTGAGCTCAACAACAACATACAACTTCAAAATCGAACAGAGAGAATTGTGCAATACCTGAAAACAGCATAAGTTAGGGAATAAGATCACAAAGATTTTAATTAACTAATGACTTAGATGTTATCTTACACATTTAAAAAAAAGTTTCTTAACTATTGATCAAAACAGGTTAAAAAGCAGTTTAAATGTCAACTTATCTTTTAAAGTTTATCTTTACTCCAAAAAACCCAAGTATTTTGCAAAATCTTTTATTATAAATTGTTTCAAGATTGAATATAAGCAATAAGCAATTCGTATAAACCAGAGAATGTTTATTTTTAGTTAAAAAATTAAAGTACTGAAATTATGTTTGTAAAATGAAAAATGAAATTAAAATATTCTTTTATAATGGATCAGCAATATTCAGATATATATAACAATAAATGTTTTTAGAAAATCAAAGAAGTACATGTTTTCTTGACATAAAAATAGGCATACTTAAAAAAAATTAATTATATATATGTAGTTTGTTATATGTGTATGTATTCTAAAAACAAACTGATGTCTATATATTTATATATATAGATGTTTAAATAATATCTGCTCAAATTAGATTGAAGTGTCAAAATTTTAAAAGACACTTCACCAGTTCGAAGTTGAAACCATGTAATTTGGGTAAAATATATGAAAAATTGTTGCGGAATTGACTAATGTTTATAAAATACATGCTTAGAGTAAATATGTAATATGAAATATCAATTTAAAAATCAATTTTATGAGGGATACAGTATTTAGAGACATATATGACATTAAGTGGATAAAAAAATTAGAGAAGTACATGGTTGCACTTGAGAATTTGAGCATATGTATTTTGGCCAGAATAAGGTAGCCCAGGTATGTTGGCTTTCAATAACCTAGGTTCCCAAAGGCCGTCACTGAAAAGTAAAGAAAAATATCTGAATGAATGTTTTTCGGAATTTCTTAGAAAATTTGTGTAAATGCTTAAAGATTTCGTAAAAGGCCCAAAAAGAATATGTATAGTTCCGAAAAATATCTATAGTTACTTATTTAATTGTGTATATAAACATTAAATTAATAATAAATTTCAAAGTAGGTACATAGGAAAGTTATGAATGAACTTACCAGCACAACTGTACTGAAGAGCTGCTGGCAATTAATGCAGCTATCAACTGACAGTGTTTTAGAGTGTGTGGCTCAAGGTCATTAATGAATTGTAAGAGTACTCAAATTAAAGATTTCGTAAAACAGTTATTTATACGAACTGGTGTACTCATAAATTTAAGTACACATTAGTAGGTGTGTAGGTCGGCTATCATTAAATGCAGATATCAGCAATATCTCAAAGGAGAATTTTGCATAGGTCTGCTCATTAAATGAGAATAGACAATGTAGGTCTGCTCATTAAATGAGCATACAAAGCATCAAGTGAACTTCATATCATAATTAATTACCAAAGTACTGACCAATGGCCTATAACCAATATACCAATCTGTAAGCATATATACCACTTCACTTGCATTAACTCCTTGCTCATAAAGTCATTTATTGAGCTCAACAACACCATACAACTTCAAAGTCCAACGGAGAGTTTTGAGTATAAAGTGTGACGATGACTGTTCTTATCCCACCAAGCAAAGGTATTTTTCGAACTATGATATGTATTCAATTAAGCATAGACGAAAAAAAATGAAATATGTACAATGAAAATGGTTGGTTATGAATATAATGAACTTTCATAAAATGCAAAGTGGTTCATACTTTAAATAATGAATATAGATTAAATAACAAAGTTTAACTTTGCCATTTAAGATGAGATGTGGGTCAAGGACAAATGATTCTCCAAAATGTCACGCATGTGGGAGGATGCCTGGACTCTTTTGGTTGGTGCCATGCTTTCGGTGTAAAAATTTAAATCACTTTTACTGTATGAATCCTCTAAACAAAAAAAGGTATACTGGTAGATACTTATGCAATGAATGTCAAGAATGGATAGATGCAGGTCATGAAATACCTAGAAGATCAGGTCGGATCATAACCCTGAACCAGACGTATTTCAATGAAAAAATGTGTGTGGGGATGAGTTTTGGTTGGCTAAACATGGCTTGAAAACACTGTTGCATTCCCAGTATGAAATATGTCCATGGTTTTTGTTAGTTATGTAAAAGTAGTGAACTCTTTTAGGTTTTGAAATTGTGTGGCCTGTATTATCGGATGAAATGCTCAGCCATGTTCAGTTTGCTATGTAAAAGAATGCTATGTAATGGATGAAATGTTATGGAATGTTATGTAATCAATGAAATGTTATGGAATGCTATGTAATCAATGAAATGTTTTGGAATACTATGTAAGAAATGAAATATTATGGAATGCTGTGATGAATGTTTTTTTTTGAAAACATACATGTGCAGTTAGCAATAATGAATTTTTAATTCATACATATGACAAATGCTATATAAAAAAATTTAAATGAGTAAAGTTTACTTGTTTTCACATTCAATACATAATTAAATATATATTAGATGAGATGCAGATGAAAGTAATTCAGAAATTAAGAAGTTCATGGGTTACCGATGTT